ATGGTATTTGTGTGTGTATGTGTGTGTGTGTGTGTGTGTGAGGAGTCTTCCCATTGAAGTGACTCATGGCTTTGGGTAGGCTGGCCAATAAGCCCTGCGGGGCCGCCTTTCTCTGCCTTGCAGTTCTGGGGTTACAGGCACTCAGAGTCACGCCTGACTTTCTGTATAGGTGCTGGGAATTTGAACTCAGCTTCTCATGCTTGCATAGCTGTTAGTTTTGTCTAATGAGACAGTTCCCTAGCCTCTATGATAATTTTTATTTTGAGTAAATGATAAGATTTTTACTGTTGAAATAAGTGATCATAACAGAAGATACAAATAAACCATTATTGTGATCCATGGTGTGAATCAGGCAATGCTCTGGTTTTCTGTGGCTGAGGAACAGTGCCACTCTCACTGGCTTAAAGTAACCTTTTTTTTTTTTTTTTTTTTTAAAGCTATGTTTTTTTTTTTTTTTTTTTTTTTCAAGACAGAGATTCTCTGTGTGGCATTGTTAGCTGTCCCGAAACTCTCACAGAGATCTACCTGCCTCTGCCTCCCGAGTGCTGGGAATAAAGGTGTGCACCACCATTGCCTGGCAATCTATGTTATTTTTGAGAAAGGCTTATAAGCCCAAGCTATCCTAGAATTCATTGTTGTAGCCCAGGCTGGCCTTGAACTCTCCGTTCTCCTGCTTGTGACTCTTGAGGGTTGGGATTATAATGTACCGCTCTGACCAGATTGCTCTCTCTCACACTCTCTCTTTCCTTTCTGTGGTCAAGAGCTTAGAAGGAAGTGAGTTAGCAGGTCGCTGCCTGCCAACATGACTCGGGCAGCTCCCTTCTCCTCTCGCTGATAGGGCGCCCTTGTCGCCTGTGGGCAGTCCCCCTCTCTAGTGAGGTCCCATTCTCTCTGGCGTCCCCCTGTGGTATATGCCGTATGCAGCCATGGGTTAGGAGAGACTGTGTCCCACGTGTGAGCCTCCGGAGCGCAAGTATTTCTATAGTCGAGAAGAGAAAGGCTACACTCTTCAGCAATGTGATCTTGCCGCCATATTTCATCGTATTGAATCGTATTCACCGAGGAATTGTCTGTTTCCTTTGGAAAAATGTCTTTCAATAACATTTTACAAAGGATCTGCAATTTTTTTTCTCTTCAAAGTTGCTTTTATTTATTTTTGAGTTAAGTTGAATTTTGCTTATCTAGTCTTTAAGAGTTTCACAAGTGTGTACAAAGTTTTTTGATCACTCCCCACTCCAAGCTCTCTCAGGGAAACACTGCACCTGTCCTGGCCAAACATCACCGCACCCTCTTTAAAAACAAAAACACAACAACAACAAACTCAGTCTCTGGTGCTTCGGGTATGCACAGGGTTGCAGGACCAGCCTCTAGCGCATGGGCAGCCTATGAGAGGAGAGGCTTGACACCCCCAAAGGAAATGGACTCTTTCTGCTAGCTGCCCTCAGCTGCCAATGGCTTTGATCTGGGGGTGGGGCCTTGTGAGCCCCTCCTCCGTTCGTGCTGGCTGGATCTTGCACAGGCTGCACACAGGCAGCCACGGCAGCCATGGCCCTGGTGTCTGGAAGACGCTATCTCAGAACAGCCCTCCTGACTTTTAGCTTAGAATCTTTGTCCCCTTGAACCTCGGGGTGGGGGTGAACACTCAGTCATTTATTATTCTCTGTTCAAGTTGCGTTTCCGTATGAGCTACAGCGCACTCCAGGTTTTGCTTTTGAAACTGTCGCCCAGCTGTCCTCAGACTCCCCGAGGACTGCCATTCCGCCCATGCACTGACACACCTACGGAAACGCTTACAGAACTTAAAGATGTTTTATGCTTTGAGCCAGTTAGTTGTGGAGCTTTTTACAAAAGTTGCTCTTCTGTTTGGGAAATATTTCTATTTCATCCAAGTGAAGTTTGAAGCAGATCAGCTAACAGGGTGTCTAGCCCCAGACAACAGGAATCAAATTGCTAGGATTAAACTAATAACTTCATGTCTCCAGCAGTCACCACCAGAGGGAGCCCTTGCACTTTTCCCCCTCAGGCAAGGTTGCCAGGCTGCTGAAGAAATGGGATACCTCGCTGCATTGGCAGGTAGGGTGCGGAGAGGCTACTTAGGGGCTCCTCAGTCACCAGTCTGCTCCTAAGTTATCCTGCTTTGCCCTTTGGAAGATGCTACTTTCTCAGTGGAGATGCAAGGACATAGTTTCCAAAGCAGGAGGGCTGTATAGATCACCCGACATGTCTCTAAGTTACTGTGTGTAGAGGGGCTCTCCCCTCCAAAGCACCGGCAGGCAGTGCATGAGACAACCAGGGCTGAACTCAGGCCCCCAAATTTCACACCATAATGAGAGTGGAATTGGGGTGAGTATTGGCTGGCCGTTATTTACTTTAATGAGCTGTGAGGTGGGTGAGGAGGCTGTGGGAGGACGCATGCCCAAATGCTGACCTGGGGCTGGGGGAGGTTTTGTTGTGACTGTTGGTTTTTGCAGGGAATCAGAGTGCCTAGGTGCAGTGGGTCTGGCATTCTCTCATTTCAGCCCAGGGCGGAAGGTTGGCGCAGGGAGGGTCTGGAGTTCAAGGCCAGCTGGTGGGCTGTAGCAAGATCCCGCCAGAAAAAAGAGAGAGGGAAAGGGGAAGAGAGGAAGAAGGGAGAGAGGAGGTGAGAACAGAGGAGAGTTAGACTGGCTGCTACGAAACAGCCTTTTCCTTTCTGGTGAGGGGGAGGCGTTCCGAGACAGAATTCTCCGTGTAGCTGTCCTGGAACTCCCTTTATACACCAGGCTGGCCTCAAACTCACAAAGAGCCGCTTGCCTCTGCCTCCTCAGTGCTGGGATTAAAGGTGTTCGCTACCACCCTCCGACGGAGACAGCCTTAATGTCCAGACTCTGACTGGATCAATGCTTCCATTTATTTTATATTTGGGATCCTGTCACCTACTTTAATAATCTGATCACCACATAAATAAACTGGTGGTTTCAGTTAATTTCATTTCATTTGATGATTTCCAGACCTCATGGTTTTCTTCTGATTCAGACCGACTTTTCAACTGCAGTGTGGTTATTGGATGCTCTTTTCAGAGGATGCGGAGTTGAGTTTTCTCTCTCCTACTTGGCTCTTTTCAAGTCTCTTGTGGCTGCGTGAAGTGGTTTTTGTAGTGTTCTTGTTATTGTTCTGTCTCCCGAGCCACCTTGATAGAAAGTTTCTTTGAAGTCTGTCGGCACTTTTAAAGCCTCTCTGATTCTCTATGTGTCTTAGAGTGAGCCCCTCACAGTGGGTCCAGGAGTCAGAATAAGTGCATGGAAGTTTGTGTCACACCCTTGTCCCTAAGCTCCCCTCAGTATGTTGCAGAAGACGGGCACAGAGAGACGGTAAGAGCTAGAGACTGGGAAGGACCAGGGCCAAACAGTGTCTTCTGGATGTTACTGGACTCTTAGGAGCTTACAGCAGGGGTATACAAGACCAAGCCAGTTACATTCTAGTGTGTGCACGTGTGTGTGTGTGTGTGTGTGTGTGTGTGAATGAATGGCTTGTGTGCTCTTATCTGTGTATAGGTTTGTCCATGTGTGGGTATGTGTATGTGAGTGCAGTACTCATGGAAGCCAGAAGAGGGCATCAGACTCCTGGAACTGGAGCCGTGAATTGCCTGACATGGATACAGGGAACGGAACTTGCTCTTAACCACTGTGCTGTCTCTCTGATTCCTGTAGGAAAGATTTTAAGCATTTATTTGGCCTCGATTTTGAAATAAAAATCAACAACTTTGTGATTTCTTGCATACCTTTTGCAACTCACCCTCCACTCTGTTTATTGCAGTGCTGGGATTGAACTCCCTAGATGCCAAAGCTTCCCAAATGCGAGGCAGGAACTCTACTCCTAAGACACACATCCATCCTATTGATCTATTTCACCTAGCTTGTGCAAAAAAGCTTATAGAGAAACATGAGAAAAAGATACATATTTACCTTTAGTTCTATATTGTTGCAGTGCAATCCGTTTTCACGTGCATCTTCATGTTCAAGGTGGAATGGCTCTGCTAAGCAGGGGACCCAGGAAGAGCGGCAGTGTGGGGAAAGCAGAAAAAAGATCCCAGGGCGTTTTCTAGCTCCCTGAAGGTGGATTTCTTGGTTGGTATTTCAATTTCTAGGTGACATGATGGATTTTCAAGGGAAGGAGAATTAGAAGTAGTTTTAAAAGTGTGCACTGGGGCTTTGGGGTGGGGCCTGGCTGGGTGGTGGGTGCCTGTCTGTGTGAGGCCCAGCACTGCCAAGGAAAAGAAGTAAATGCACGTCAGGTCAGTGTCCTGCTCCTCAGCCGCGGCCAATGAGGGTTTCTCCATCAGTGTCTTCTGTTTGTAGCGCGCCATCTGTAAAATTTAGCAACAGAGCCACAAGGCAGTGAAGATTTCAAGCTGGGTGACACCAAGCGCCTCATGTTCCGCTCAGAACACCTTTAGAACTAGGCAAGGACACACGCTTGTTGTTGCAGTTCAGGAAGCGTAAGCAGACGGGTTGCTTGGGCCAGAAGTTCAAGCCTCGGCCCCGGAGGGAGGCTTCATCTTAAAGACAAAGAAAAGGGAAAAGAATCAAATAAGTGCGAGCCATTGTTGTAAACTCTAAAATCCTGTATTAGAGACGTGGCGGCCAGAGGGTTGTCAGTGCAGGGCCTGTCTGGACCATGAAGCAAATCCAGTGCAGCCCAGGGAACTTACCAAGACCCCGACTCAGTGAGATTCATGGAGAGCTAAGGCTGTAGCTCAGTGGCAAGAGGACCGGTACCGTGCACAAAGCCCCAGGTTCAAACACGGTTGATTACTAAAAATGTTTCATATATCTTACACCTTTTTCTCTACAAATATTATTCGGTGGGCATAATGAATGAATATGTTAAAAGTCATTATTGTTGGGAACTGTTATTTGTGTTCAATAACTTGATGAAGAATGGGCTGACTACTTACCTGAGTGCTGAAATACCCTGTCTCCTATTGTGTGCAATAATAGATTATTTTTTCTTGGATTTAGATTTCCTCCTTCCTCACCCCTGAAGCCATATCCAAAGAGGCCCCTGTATCAAAGAGATGTCATTAAATTTCCAGAGTGGAATGATCCCCCACCAGGCACTTCACAAGAGAACATTCCAGTGAGGCCGATTGTGATGGTAAGTGCCCTGACTAAAAGACATGGGCTCACTGCTGGCAGTCACTGGCTGCTTGGGAAGAGGAAGTCATTGTGTCCTCTGTGTGGCCATTGGTGGGTTGCTCATAGCCAGGGGACAGTACCACAGCCACGCCCCCCACACAGTTGGCTCTGGGCAAACCCAGTGAGTAGCAGAGCAGAAACAAAACACAATGAGAAGCGATGAAAGTGAAATGGGGACTTGGTGTGGGGAGGAGCTGGAAGGAGCGAGCAAACGGCAGAGTGAGCGAGCAAACGGCAGAGTGAGCGAGCAAACGGCAGAGTGAGCGAGCAAACGGCAGAATGAGCGAGCAAGCAAACGGCAGAGTGAGCGAGCAAATGGCAGAGTGAGCGAGCGAGCGAACAGCAGAGTGAGCGAGCGAGCAAACGGCAGAGTGAGCGAGCGAGCGAACGGCAGAGTGAGCGAGCGAGCAAACGGCAGAGTGAGCGAGCGAGCAAACCGCAGAGTGAGTGAGCGAGCAAACCGCAGAGTGAGTGAGCGAGTGGGACCACAGTGCGTCTCATGCGTGCATGAGTTGTCAACAAATGAACTAATTAAAACAATAGTCATGGTTTCTCTTTTAAGATGCTGGGCTGAGTCCAGGAGGGCTTATCTAGTGAGCTGCAGGCTTTCTGATGTCTGGTTTTTACAGTGCTGGGAAGCACTGTGCCTGGCGATGGTTGAGAAGCCCTTTGACAGCGGCTCTCATTTAGTTTTCACGCTCATCCCTGACGTTTTGATGGAACGTGTGGTACCTGCTTTCTTATGCAGAAGTCAGCAGATTTCTGGTAAACTCCCCTGTGATCCCCTCTCCTGTCCTAGAGCTGCCTTGTCTTCTCCCGGACTTTATCTCAATTGTTGTATCAGGTGAGAGTGAGCTGGTAAAGCTGGGTAGTGACCCCCGACACCCGACACATGGCGTGAGCAAACATGGCTTCTTCCGGTGAAGCACACCCCCTCTCCCCCACCCCCTGCCTCCACACTTTTTTCTTAAACTATCCCTAGTACAAGTCTGCCAAGATTGAGATGATGCTAAAAAACAAAAATACAGAGAGACTCTTTGATAAGGCATTTTGGAAGAAATTTACTAACGTTATTGATGTAGGTTAATCAGGTCTTATAAGACTTGACACCGAGACAGTTTTGTTTGCAAAGATGTGATGAAACCATTTTTAGCCAGTGCAATTAAAACAAAAAAAAAAAAAAAAAAAAAAAAACAGCTCCCTCTCCCCCAAAGAAACGATGTGATGTCTCAGCTAGGAGAGGATAATTAAGGAGCTTAGACTTATCAAAGATGATCAAGGCAAGCAGTGACTCCAGTGACAGAAGAGCGGACTCCACAGGGGCTTGCTGATTTGTCAAGGATGGTGATGGCTTTGCTGCGCATTTGACAATTGTGATTTTTTTATGTGAAGTGGGAACGCCTATCAGGGGGATGGAGACAGTGACCCTGGAACTTGGAGGAGAGACTGTGTTTGGAGGTTCCTTGCTCACTCACTTAAGAAAATGTCATTAAGAGCGCCCCTGTGTGACAATTTGCCAGGCTTAGTAGAGTCAGTGATGTGTGACACCTTCTTCACCCTCACAGTCTAGTGAGAGAAAAACAGTAAAATAGAAAATAAAGTGTTAGCAAGACAATGGAAACTGCAGGGGTGCTAGCTGCTGTCCGGAATTAAGGGATGCTTAATAACTGTCAGTTCCTAGCCGAGAAAAAATTAATATGGGAACTCTAAGGAATTGGGTATCCTTCTCTTCATCCAATAGAGCCCTCTCTAGCTAGGGCTGTTGTTCAGACAACCGTTTTCTTTTTTTCTTTTTTATACTTAAATAAATGACGCCATCTATATGCCTTCCCTCTCTTCTTCTGTGCCCCGCGGAAGTCCATATGTTTATTAGCATGTGTCAACGCCTGTTCAGAGTCTCATACCAGTGACAATACCTTCTCTGCTCAGTTGAAATACTCCGAGAGCTCTGAAGTGTGCCAGTCCCCAGAGCCATTCCTTTCTCCTCCAGCTGTCTGCATGCATCCATACTTCTCTTTTGATATGTTCTGGCCTGTCTCTTCTGGATTTCCCTGTACATAATATTCCAGCTCTAGACTCCTTGCTTGTCATGGGATCCACCACAATGTGTGCCCTACTTCCTGGGTGCTACCCAAACCAAGATGGTAGAGTAGGGCTTCTTCGTTGTTGCTGTTGTTCAGGGGACCATGATGCAACTTTTAGAATGAGGTTCATCAGTAAACAAATGACTCATCTTTCTTAAAGAGCTTGAGAGGTGGGTGCATGCCTGGAAGCTTAGGCAAGGTCTGGAGCTAAAGCCAGCCTAGGCCATCTAGTGAGTTCTGGGCTTACAGAGTGAGACAAAACAAACCAGAAAGCAAAGCCTTTTGTCATATCCTTTTTTGGGGGTGGTAATTTCTTTGGGAGGATTGAACCCAGTGGCTTGTTGATGCTAGGCAAGTGTTCTGCACCTGCCCAGTCCTGTCACTTGTCTAACCAACACATGAAATAAAAAACAATAGCAAAACGGGGTAAACAATTATTTGTTCTTTCTGAGGGGCAAAATTATAAGAGTGGGTTCTGGAGTCAAGATGGTGGTGTTTGGTCTTTGTGATGAGGGTTTGAATTTGCTTTCCTCTGTTAGTTCTTGTGCTTTTGTGGAAGAGTTCTGACCAGTGACACTGGTCCCCTGTGAGAGTCATCTGTCCCCTGTGAGGTAGAGATGGATTGAGAGTCATCTGTCCCCTGTGAGGTAGAGATGCTGTGAGAGTCATCTGTCCCCTGTGAGGTAGAGATGGATTGAGAGTCATCTGTCCCCTGTGAGGTAGAGATGCTGTGAGAGTCATCTGTCCCCTGTGAGGTAGAGATGCTGTGAAGAGTCATGTGGTCTCCTGTGAGGTAGAGATGGATTGAGAGTCATCTGTCCCCTGTGAGGTAGAGATGCTGTGAGAGTCATGTGGTCCCCTCCGAGGTAGAGATGGATTGAGAGTCATGTGGTCCACTGTGAGGTGTAGGTACTGTGAGAGTCATGTGGTCCCCTGTGAGGTGTAGGTACTGTGAGAATCAGCTGAGTTTATGCCTGTAAAATTCTAAGAGCAGGGTTTTGTATTCTCAGTAGTGGTCAAGTATAGCTTGTATGACTCATTTATTTCGGGAAAGAAATTTTCTGTGATATCGACGGAGAATTCCTCCTGCTAACATTTTTATCCTGGACCCATTTGTGTGTTTTAACACAATGAGGTCACACTGGGCCTCCTGTACCCGAGGTTCATCACGTGGAATAGTATGTTATGCCCATTTTTCACATTATTAAACATCAACATCATTTTAGTACCTGCATCATGCTTAATATAAAATGATTTATTTTATTTGTTCAAACCTTTATTGCTTGCTAAGTTTTTTCCTAGCTTTTCAACATATAATGTTCTAAACAATACCTTTACAGGTATTATACAGATAAATATAAATGTATTCAGGAGTACTTTTTATGATACCTTTGGAAATAGGTTTGCAGAGCAAATGTAATAGTCCAAACATATGTTTTAGATATTTAAAATTCACACATGCATCTGGCCTTTGGGTTTCATTTATAATTTGGTAATTCTTTCAAAGCAAAGGCAGGGTCTGGAGAGATGGCTCAGCCACTCATGTAAGAGCTCTTCCTACTCTTGCAGAGGAGCCAAGTTTGGTTCCAAGCACCTTGTTTGCTGGCCAGCAACCATTGTAAATCCAGGGCTGCCAGCTTCTGTGAGTACCTGACCCCCTTTAAACATGCAAAACCAAAAATTAAACAAGCAAGCAAACAAACAAACAAACAAAAAATACAACTTTCCTGCTCTTTTTCTTCAAACTAAATAAGATTTTCTGTAACAATATATTTACAAAAATATATCCTAGAAACTCATTGGGAATGTTTTCTAACATATTTTGTCTCTTACTGGCCGGAATTCTCTGTGATTGAAACAAAAAAAGTATAATTTGTGTCTAACAGCCTAACTGTGGGAGATGAACTCTTAGGAACCTGGTGCAGAGAGCTTTGTGACTTGGGCAGCCTGAGCTTTCTGAGCTGTAGCCCGTCTGCGGAAGGCCTTCTCCACGCCTCGTGTCTTAGCCACCCTGAGCGATCCACGCCTCGTGTCTTAGCCACCCTGAGCGATCCACGCCTCGTGTCTTAGCCACCCTGAGCGATCCACGCCTCGTGTCTTAGCCATCCTGAACGATTCTCCCAGGTTGCTTGCTTTTCTGCGCTTAGCGCTTGCCTAGGATTGGGTTGCTTTCCAATGTTAAACAAATTTGATATTTGCTTATAAAAGAGAGCTCTAGAAGCGATATACTCTCATTTTAATGGTTGCTCAGTTGCAACAATGGGAATCAGGCCTTTCTGAACACAATTTTGAATTTATAAAAATTTATTTTACCAGCTAGTTGGAACTCCCACAGGACATAGTGCTCTAGTGTTCTAGTGCTCACTGCCTTACTTCTTTTGCCATTCATCGTAACATGACCTCATCTTGGGTCATTCATTACTTATCTGAGGGCCAGAAAAAGAAAGCTAGCTATATTCTAACCATTATTTTCAGTCAAATTACATTTCTCATGAACTAGCATTTTTTACTGAAATGTGTATCCTCTCTCTGTCCCGCCCCGGTTCATCCCTTCTTCGTCCCCGCCCCCTCCTGACAAATTAGAATTCTGAGATGTGGTTCAAGCGCCACAGCATTGCCATCGGAGAGGTGCCTGCTTGCCGTCTTGTCCACCGAAGACAGCTGACCGAGGCCAACGTGGAAGAGATCTGGAAGACTACAACATTACAGCAGTATGCACGTTTGACTTTGAGACGTTCCAGGGATCTCTTTTCTATTTTATCTCTTCCCTACTCTCTGCAGATTTAGTTTTCTGAAATTGTTTTTAAAAAAATCCCCACTTTGCATAATCTGTACTTATCCTGTTTCACATATATAATTTAACTAACAATAGAACATCTTGAGAATTTTCTACTGTTAGACATGCAATAGTTAAAACAGGAGTTTAATTTCTTTTTCAGCTGCCCCCCACCATACATGCTTTTGCTTTGTAACCCGAATTGGCCTTGAATTCTCTTTTGTCCTTCTCAACCTTTTGAGTGCTGGGATTGTAAAGTTTTTAACTTTTAATATCACTGACATCTTAAGTTTAATAAACACATAATAGGAAATTTGGCCTTAAGTAATTTTAGTTAAAAAAGTTTCTTGGCATTCAGGTCATTGTGTGATTGAGTAATTAAAGACGTGTGCAATTGGAAAAGGAAATTCTCGGTTACTTTACACATACTCCATTTCTAACCCATTGTTAGGAAGTTTGGGTGCAATTCATGAAGACAGTGCACCTTAACGATGGGGCTTTTGAGGTGCTGAGGGGATGCACAGAGGGTAAAAGCCCTTGCTGTGAAAGCAAAGAGCTCAGTTCCAGTCCCCAGTGCCCATGTAAAGACTGACACGTCTGCCTGTTTCTGTAGCTGTGCCACTGTGGGGTAGAGACAGGTGGATTCCAGGAGCTTGCTGGCCAGCTAGCTCAATCAGTGAGCTCCTGTTCAGTGAGACTAGTCATAAAACAGGGTGGAGGGCTACAGAGAAGACATGTGACATCATTCTGTGACCAGGACATGAGCATGCATGGGTGCACGTGCTGGTTCACATGCTCACATGTATACATCATACACACAGACACACACACACACACACACCACACAAACACACATACACACACACATACACACACACAGACACACACACCACACACACACACAGACACACACACACACATCACACACCACACACAGACACACACATACACAGACACACACAAACACACACACACACCACACACACACACACAGACACAGACACACACACACATCACAGCACACACAGACACACACATACACAGACACACACACACCACACACACACAGACACACACACATACACACCACACACACACACACACCAAACACACACAGAGACACACACACACCACACACACAAACCACACAGACACACACACACACAAACAGACACACAAACACACCACACACACCACACACAGACACACACACATACAGACATACACACACCACACACACACATACACCACACACACAGACACACACACACACAGACACACACACATACACCACACACACAGACACACACACCACACACACAGACACACACAGACACACACACCACACATACAGACACACACACCACACACACACACAGACACATAGACACCACACACACACACAGACACACACACCACACACACAGACACACACACACCACACACACACACAGACACACACAGACACATAGACACCACACACACACACAGACACACACACCACACATACCACACACACACACACAGACACACACACCACACACACACAGACACACATACACCACACACACAGACACACACACCATACACATACCACACACACCACACACATACACACACACACTCACACACAGACACACACACACAGACACATAGACACACACACACACACAGAATCTTTTGTACTGCTCAGTGTTTGGCAGTACTGAAATAGTGATTACAGTACTTTGAAACTTTTTAAAAATTATTTTAAGAATAAATTATCTATCATTTTAGTTTACAGAAAATCCTTGGCCTGGATTCCTTAGAAGAAGTTTTAAACATCAAACTTGTCAACTCCAAGTTCATCATCCATAACGTGTATAGCGTCAGCAAGCAGGGAGTCGTCATCTTGGACGACAAGTCAAGTAAGTGCACGTCAGGCAGCCGTTAGCTCTGGTCTGACCACACACTGGCTACGCCGATCCCTTAGTCCCCATTGACCCCTTCCTCACCTCAGCTCAGCCCACGCCCTCACAGCATAAACCCTGCTCTCGGCGCCTTTGAATTTTTCCTTCATCTTCCTTTTTGGAGCAAGAGAGTCGTGTTATCCGTAACGCCCATGGTGGGCCACAATGATCAGACTGACTTTGTTTGAGATCCTCCTGCCTCAGCTGACAGGCCTGTGTTATCATACTTTACCCAAGACCAATTAAAAAAACAAAACAAAACAAAAAACCCTCTCTTACAGGTAAGGTAGGACTGGAATTGGATGGGGCTTTGAATTCTCAATGCGGAGAATCAGCGGGGGCTGAGTGACACTGGTGCAGGACTTGGGGGACACGTAAACTATTACTAAACTGAGGCTGAAGCTCCTAGCAGTGGCGTGTATAGGAAGGGGTCACACGGGACACAGTCCCTCCGTCAGGGATGCGGGATAGTGGGTTAGTATCAAACTGTAGCAGCAGGTTTCTGTGCATGGAGGAGTCCACATCTGCGACATACTCCTAGACCTGTCCAAATCCTCTAGAGTCAGAGTCATACCTTGAGTTGGCACTTAGACAAGAAGTCAATTTTTGTTTTACTAAGTTTCTCCAGAAAAAGGAAAGGTTTTACAGTTCTCAGGTGGAACAACACTACAGGCTGCTTCCCACCACATAGAATCACACACAAGCTCCTCTCCCCTGCAGGACCAGAGGGAGGAGGCTGCTGATTTTTTTTTTCAGTTTCAATTTTTTTTTTTAATTATTTTTTATTTTACATGCCGATCTCAGTTCCCTCTCCCTCCCTCCCTTTTACCCTCTCTCGCCCCTCACATGCACACTGACCACCCTCCCCTCCCATTCCCCCCACCCCAATTCCATATGTAGGGGAATGCCATCCAGGTGGGGTCAAGTAGATCTGTCAGGTCATTTGAAGTAGGGACTAGGGCTTCTCTCCTGTCTCTAGATTAAGGCAGTTATCCCTCCATGGGGGATGTGTCTGCAAGGTCCTTTTGTGCACCAGGGATACATCCTGGTTCCACTGTCTGAGGTCCCTTAGACTGCTCAGTCTTTTTGGCTGAGACCCATATTCAGGGGGTCTGAGTCATTCCCATGCTGGATTCCCAGCTATCAGTCTGGGGGCCCGTTAGCTCCTCCTTGTTCAGGTCAGCTGTCTCTATGTGTTTCTGTAACCTGTTCTTGTCCTCTCCGTCTGCATCTGGATTCTAGTTCGACTCAGTGTTTAGTTAAGGGTGTTTGCTTCTGTTTCCAACAGGTACGAGATGAAGGCTCCATGATGGTGGATAAGTTAGTTGTTGATCTCACTATCCGGGAAGGGCATTTATGGTAGCCTTCCCACTGTTTCTCAAATTGTTAGTTGGCAGCAGTCTTGTAGGTCTCTAGACCTTTCTTTAGGTTCAGTTTTCTCTTCAAACCAACAATGGCTCCCTCTTTTATGTTCTCTCTCTCTCTCTCTCTCTCTCTCTTTCTCTCTCTCTCTCCCTCTCTTCTGTCCTCTGTTCCTACTCTGACTCAATCTTCCTAGTCGCAGTGCTTTCCTCTCCTCTCCCTCTCTTTCTCCTACGTCTCTCTCCATTCACTGCCCCCCCCTCCCATGTGCTCAGGGGTAAAGGTTTCATTTTTACGTGTATGTAGATTTGTGTTTCTGTGTAGGTGTATACTTATAAGTGCAATACCCACAGAGACCATAAGAGGGAGCCATCTTCCAAGCGGCAGTTGTATAGGATTGTGAGCCACCTGCTGTGGGTGCTGGGAACTGAAATCTGGCTATGAAGAGCATTATGTGCTCTAACTACTGAGCAGTCTCTCCAGCCTCTGGACTCTCTCTCCAGCCTCTGGACTCTCTCCAGCCTCTGGGCTGTCTCTCCGGCCTCTGGACTCTCTCTCGCCAGCCTCTGGACTCTCTCTCTCCGGCCTCTGGACTCTCTCTCCAGCCTCTGGACTCTCTCTCTCCAGCCTCTGGACTCTCTCTCTCCGGCCTCTGGACTCTCTCTCTCCATCCTCTGGACTCTCTCTCCAGCCTCTGGACTCTCTCTCTCCAGCCTCTGGACTCTCTCTCTCCGGCCTCTGGACTCTCTCTCTCCAGCCTCTGGACTCTCTCTCCAGCCTCTGGACTCTCTCTCTCCAGCCTCTGGACTCTCTCTCCAGCCTCTGAGCTGTCTCTCCGGCCTCTGGACTCTCTCTCCGGCCTCTGGACTCTCTCTCTCCAGCCTCTGAGCTGTCTCTCCGGCCTCTGGACTCTCTCTCCAGCCTCTGAGCTGTCTCTCCGGCCTCTGGGCTTTCTCTCCGGCCTCTGGGCTGTCTCTCCGGCCTCTGGGCTGGGCTTATTTTAGCAATGTTACTGTTACTGTAAGGCTGACTTACTACTAGAAGCCTGTGATTAATATGTGAGTGGCATTTTCTTGACCTGAAACATTTTGAAAATGTTAACAGGTAAAATGAAAACTATATTGGACCTACAGAACATACTCCCCCCCCCCCCAGTTTGATGCTGAGGATTGAACCCAGGGTCTCACATATAATCATGTGTTTTTCTGGTCCAACCATCCAATTCTTTCTTTTAACTATAGCTTTTAAAAGTACATCCTATCCTTAGAGAAAATGCTATGCCCGATGCATTTAAGTACCTGTTATAGCATTGCTGCTAAAGAAAAGAAAGATTTCTATATTTTAAATGTTCTAGTACGCAAATTGGTGAAATGTCTCATAGTGCCTGGGCAAATAGAATACCGTGTGTGTGTGTGTGTGTGTGTGTGTGTGTGTGTGTGTGTGATTGACTTATAAAGAGATGAATAAAATATCTTTTGTATTTTCCTTTCTACAGAAGAACTTCCTCATTGGGTCCTGTCAGCCATGAAGTGTTTGGCAAATTGTAAGTACTAATTATCTGCCAGTTTTATAAAATTAACGGAAATTAGTGCCTTGAATTAGAAAACACTCCTGCTCAATGGGCTGGACATTGATTTGACACCTGTGCGGCTGGCAGGGAATTGTTTGGCAGATGCATGACTTAGTGAAAGTGTTGCTATATCACAGTCTTAAAGGCAGGCAGCCCTTCCTTGGCCTCGGGGATGTAGTCATACATCAAGCCTCTGCCATTCCCAGGGGAATATCTCAGGGGTGAAAGAAATGAGTGACAGCATATATCATATAGCAGCAGCTACCTGCTAATGGTCCCAAAAGGTGGCTCTTAGTGTCTGCGTGCTCACATCTCATTTGCTGGGCAGCTGCTGTCCTCTCCGAGGCGGCCGAGGGCAGTGTTTTAAAGGGACAGCTGTGTTTTAGAGGACCAGCCTGGCTGACCTGCAGGATGACTTAGAAGGAGAGGAGCCTGCATGCTGTCTCAGAGCCTGCATGGGAGATCTGGAAGCCTGGACAAGGGTGGGCCCAAGAGAGTATTCATGGGCATATAAACCCTCTTGAGCAGACACATGGCATGCATTTCTTTGGCTAGGTCCCAGTAAAGGAGTTTTTTAGGGATACCATAGAGAGCCATTTCATGATGTCCCAGGGGATTGAATGTCATATCCAGAATGGTTTCCTGTGTTACAGCTAGGAGCTCTTAGCTCCCGAAATTCTGTGGGAAGAATTTCCTTGAACTCATTTTTGTTGCTTAGTTCGTTCTCCTGAGCATGCCGGTCTCTGCTGGCCTGAGCCTGGTCACTGAAATTGCACTCCTTTTCTTCTGTGGTCCTCCTGGGACAAAGCTGTTTTCCTCCAGGTTCTGGGACCTCCACTTTGCCTGCCAACATCGTAGTGTAAATCTGCACTGAGGGCGTTTGCTGCCAAGTCGTGCAGGTCATCTTTTATACCTCGTTGGACCCGGAATCTGTTGGGACTTTCCTGTGCCCTCTGTTGGCACAGGACATAGCCTGGCCCAGCCTGATTCATTTTCCACGGCTCTCCAGCAATGCAGCTGAGTAGGTTTCTTTTAATAGTCGGGCAGTGATTGGTTAGAGTCGAGAATGAATTAACAAGGTAGAATGTAAAATCTTTCTCGTTGTCTTTTTAAAAAGCATTTAGAATTTCATTAGTCTGAAGTAGTTTGTTAGGAGAAACTGATTATTTCACTCAACAGTATGACTGTAGGCTATTACAGTATGGCTAATGAACTAAAGAAGCTGCACAAATTTCTTGGTAGCTCATTTATTACGTATTAACAAATTATTATTTTATTAACTTTTTTAAGTATAGGAAAATGTTGACATTTCAAAGAAAATTATTTATATGAATAACGTTTGCCTCGACTTGAAAAACATGTTTTTCTTTTAAATTTCAGATTCATTAGTGTTTTTTGTTTTCATAATATATTCAGCTAATCATATTTGACCAAAAGGTGCATGTCATTTCCACGTGAAAAGCTATGACTGTAACTTGACTATCTGTACATCCCACACCTGTGGCAGACTGTATGGTACTTAGAAGTAGCTGCCTCATTAATCATTTTTTCTTTTTTTAAAGGGCCCAACTGCTCAGATTGGAAGCAGCCTATGTACTTGGGATTTGAAAAAGATGTCTTTAAAACAATAGCGGATTACTATGGCCACCTGAAGGAGCCGCTACTCACCTTTCACCTATTTGATGCTTTCGTCAGTGTCCTAGGTAAATATATAACGAGCTTTTCGGCATGTCCATATTGAACCGTGTCTTGTCAATATTTATATGAATTATTCATTTGTAACTTTTGGAGAATTTCATGCATGAGTATTTTCTTTCCATTAGCATATGTTAATTATATATAATAATGGGTCTCATGAAGACATTTTCATACACCTATATAATGAGTTATTTCCTTTCTTCTGCCCATTCCTGCTGACTTCTTTTCTCTTCACAAACTGCCCCCTTCTGCTTTCGTGTCTCTCTTTCCTCGTGTGTGTGACCCAAACAGTTTGATTAGGTTTCCTTATCTAAGCGCAGGTAAGAGCTGTTTATAGGATCATTCCACCTTTCAGTGGCTACGCCTCTTCGGCAGCCGCCACTCACTGCTGACCGTTTCTCAGGGTAGTGTGGGGCTCCTCAGCCATCTGCCCATATAAATCTTATTCCACGATGTAGTGTGGCTGCGCCCAGTCTTACATAGGTAATCAGAGCTGCTGTGAGCTCACAGGGACAGCAGCCATAACCGGAAGGCAGCTCCACCCCTCCCTCCAGCTCACCCTCTCTCTTCACTTTTTCTGTGATGGGGGGGGGGATGCCCCGTGCACGGCAGGAAATTTACCACCCACTTATTCTCAGCACCCTGAGCAGTTGTAAGTCTGACCTAAGGGGATAGATAGCAGCACTGCCCCGTGGCTGTAAGCATGAATATTCAGAAGGTAGATAGATGATGGGTGCAACATTTACAAAACAACAGCGGGAGCTTTTAATTCCTTCCGGAGGAGCAGGGCTTCAAATCCCATCAGCAAGTGGTTGGTTACTGCCAAGTAGTCATGCCACTGTTGCTCTGGTGCAGGGTCTACAGCTGGGTAAATCTGTGGGTGACTCTGCCCTCAGTGGCCTGAGTAGTACCTTCCTGCACATTAAAAGCTAGCCATATAGTCATTTTTCAAGTAAAAAGTGATAGATTGCTTAATTCTTGCTCCAGAGACCAGTAAAAGAAAATCAAATAGTTAACCTGATTATAAAAACAAAGTAAAACATCAGCAGCTTTTATTTCTAAAGGGAGACTAGATGTCGTACAAGAGTACACTGTTGGTAGAGAAGAGTATAAATTTGACATTTACTCTTGATGACTAAATTGAATACTCTAGGTATGGCTTCATGAGCAGTCAGTGTAGGAGGTATATTGTCACTTAGAAGATCATTTAGTTTTATTACAAGAAACAAGTTTTATAGGACTATTTGATACTTGAAATATGCAGAATAAATGCAGTAACATCATTCATGTAAAACTTGTTTTTATTCTTCATATAGATTTATACCTTAGAATTTATGCCGTGAAGGAAACGAGGTAGAAAGGGGCAAAGTCCATTATTGCTATTGTTCCTTTCTTTTTGGAAATCAGATTTCCCTGTGGGATGTAAGTATTTTTTTTCTTTTCATATTGTCAGTTATGAAGAAGTGAGGGGAATTAGCATACTCTTGTTCTCAGCACCCTGGGGGTTAGCGGTCTTTCCCGTTGCGTTTTTATTCCTTTCATTTTTCTTTGCCTCTCTTCCATAGCCCTGTGTGAATGAGTTCCCTGAACTTAGCAGTGTACTCTAGATTCATGCCTTTGTAGGTTCTCTGACAGTAGCAAATACAGTCACTGTAAATGGTGTGTGTGTGTGTGTGTGTGTGTGTGTGTATGTATGGCATGGTACATATGTTGAGATCAGAGGACAACTTTGTTTAGTTGGTTTTCTCTTTCCAGATTTATACAGGTTCCACAGCAAGTGCTATCTATACCCACAGAGCCACCTTGTCTTAGGAGTGATTATTTTTAGCAGCACTGGGGATAAGTGGAGGACCTATTTAGTTTGATATGGGATTTTAAGACCAGTAAGTCTTTTGGGTATTCTATTTAAGCCCAGTTGATCTTTTATGGATGTTTTGGTTTTGATTTGATTTTTTTTTTTTAGGAGTCTCATGCAGACCCACCTGGCCTCAAACTCACTATGTAGCTGAGGGTGGATTACAGGTGTGTGCCACCTACCCAGCTCTGTTACGGAGTCTTGAGACTGTTCTGTGTTCTTGGTATTTTGTTTTAAGCTGGGTTTAATTGGGGCTTATAGACATAAACATCTCTTGGCTAATGATGAGCGCTTGCTGCTGTTTCAGATGCTCCTGGACTAAAAGAGTAGCTTCTCATTATCCTTACTCAGTGCCATTAGCATTGGCTAGCCTAGAGTTCTAAAGACTGGATTGAAAAATCAATTCTTATAGTTTATTCTCATTTTTCATTTTTCTAATATTGTGTAGTAAAATTATTTGATTTGGAAACAGAATGACTTGAAGCATTTTTTTAAACACAATTTCTAATTTGAATCTTTTTTTTTTTTTGCCCTTCACAATTATTCATTTTGAGCTGAGCTAGTAGTTAAAGCTGGCTCCTTTCCTAATTGATATCAGAATTAGTTGTCATAAAATGTAAAGAATTTGGCATAGAGAATGATAGGCATTATGAATTTATTGCTTTTAGCTATAAGCCAGAATACACTATACCCTTAGTTAGGGTTTCTATTGCTATGTGGAGACACCATGACCATGGCAACTCTTATAAAGGAAAACATTTGATTGAGGTGACAGCTTACGGTTTCGGAGGTTCAATCCATTATCATCATAGCGGAGAGCATGGTGGCTGAGAGTATGGTGGTGTGCAGACAGACATGGTGCTGGAGAATCCTATATCTTTGATTCACAGATGACAGGAAGTGAACTGAGGCACTGGGCAGTATCTTGAGTATATATGAGACCTCAAAACCCACCTCCATGGTGACACACTTCCTCCAACAAGACCACACCTACTCCAACAAGGTCACAGCTCCTAACAATGCCACTCCCTTTGGGGAGCATTTTCTTTCAAACCATCCCAGCTATTGAATGCATCTGGTAAAATGTATTAACCTGCTTTGTTATCAATCCTTCCAAAGTGAACGTTCATGAGACTCCTGTATTGGAGATCACTTTTTTTTTTTTTTTAAAGTATTTTCCTGTAGTGACAAAAGAAAACCTAGACTATGGCAGATTGTAATTTGTTTACATGATTAACAAAGAGTATCTAGTACAGTCTGTGGACAAAAGATATTATCTAGAAATGTAGATTGAATTTCATAGAGTGGATTCATCTCTTAAACTTCTTGACTTGGATTGAACTAGGGGGTGGCCTTGATTGAAATCACATATTGCCTGGTTTGAAGCAGGGTGTTGTCTTTTAAAGTAAGTAATCATCCTACTTTGTGTGGAAGCTGAAATTGTGCAGCATTTTTCAATGGACGTGATTGTCACGTTAGTGCATATTCTTCTTTTGAGCTTCATGCGTTTGCTTGATTGAACATGGTAGGCCTTGTGACCAGAGCTATGACCCTGAGAGCTGTTAGTCATTATTGAGTATGAAATTGGGCGTCTTAACTCCATTTTAATAGTTTTCAAAGGAAGGACACAGCTGTGGTGGCCCATGCCTAGAATCCCTGCACTTGGGAAGTTGACATGGGGAGAGCACTCAGTTGAGGCCAGCCAGGACCTGACTCAGGAATCAGACAACATTTATTTAATAAGTGTGGGGAAGAGGGTCAGGAAGGAAAGAACAAAACAGAACCAAGCCAGCTGTCCACAGCTGTTCTTTATTTTCCAAGATGAGTATCAACCTTTACTCACACTCCACCTCCCACCACAGAGTCCATTGGCTTGTGCAGCATCTGATAATTTGCATATTGAGGGTGGATGAAGGTGGATAAGCAAATGAGATGGGAGTCAGGTAGGTGTTCAGAAATGAGTGATCCTCCTGTAGATTTGTGCTAATCTTCTATAAATATCCTCTAAGTACCTCTGGTTTGAACTGTGTGTGTGATTTTTAAAAAAGAAACTTGATTAATTTACATATTTTAAGAAACAGGAGGTGCATATGCAAATTTATATTTATGGCTTTTTAAAAAGAAAATTAGAAGGATCTGGTAGTCTGGGGCTTGGGGTTTTGGTGGTACAAGTCAATGCTGTATGGATGCTTCCAGCAGAAGGAGCAAGGGTTTGGGGACACGGACTCCAGCTTGCTGCTACATCGCTTCTCAGTTCCCGTTTCTTGTTCATTCCATTTCAGCTGTGGTGCCTGGTTTCCCTGCTATCGAACTGGAGGCTGAGATGACAGCTCTTTGTTGTTTATCATTTCCTCCTGACTGGAGTCTTAAAATGGCATTCATTCACTGGCGTCACTATGCACTGGGTCATCTGACTCAGGAGTTAAAATCTGTGTGTGGCCCACACCTGCCAGAGAATTGTGCAGGCTTATAGTGTAGAATATCCAAGTGACTAGTTAGTGTGCATGCCCAGACAAAGGGCTCTTGTTTCTGTGTGCTTGATGTTCTTGGTGGTGATGTCGCCTGCTTTCTGGGCTCACGTCTTGTGACTGGGGCTTTTGAAGATGCAGATGGACCAAGATAAAGATGTCTATTTACCATCAAATGTTTCCAGTGATTGTTGAAATAAAGTGGAGTTGGGTATTCCCTAGAGGTAGCAATTTAGGGAAGTGTCTAGATTTTCCTTGGATCTAACCAAATGTATAAATTACTTATAGCTATGATCACTAAGAAGATTGACAAAACTTTTGGGAAGAAATTCCAAGATTCTTCCCATACCATTTCAGCAAGATACAGATATTTTTAAATGCAATATGGTTCATTTTTATCCAGTATTTGGATGAGTAAAGAACTTTCTGAGCCTAAAAGCCAAAGGGATTATTACGTGCTGTATTTGAGATTCGTGTAAGAAACAACATCATCTTGAGAATAGGAGAGCCTATATGTGTTTTTGAATAATTCCCTGTGGTAACCTGCTTACCTTTTCCTAAAAGTCTCCAAAGAATTAGGTTCTCTTGCTATGTCTTTCTTTAAGCAAAAAAGAAAAGAAAAGAAAGAAATCCAATTGGTATATATCTTAAATCCTTTTGCTTCAATGTGGTCTTTTTTCTT